CCTCCCTCCTCCCTCTCCCCCAGCTCTCTCCATGGGGCACCGGGTGGGCTGGGATGTCCCTGGGGTCGGCTGTGTGTGTCCCCCCACCCCCCGGCTCCTTGTGCCCCCCAGGCACTCGCTGCTGGGGGGGATGAGCAGCCTTGGCTCTGCCCAAGCCCTGCTCGGCAGTAAGGAAAGCAGCCCTGTGTCATCAGCTCTGTTTCCAGCACAAATCCAGATCTCCGTATAAGCTACTGTGAAGAAAATTAACTCTATCCCAGCCAAACCCAGTACATTTATTCAAAGCTTTTGCTACTACAAAAGAATTTTTGATGATCATTTTGAACTTCGTGTTTAGCTGATAAGACCATAGGGTTGTAAACCCCCCAGAGGCTGTGTTGGGGTTGTGCTGCCTCTTTCTGTGTTATTTTGACATGTTTATTTGATCATGTTTACATGCATATGTTGATGGAGGTCATTTCCAGCATTTCAAGAAAGTTAAACTGAAATAATTAAAACTTCAGTGTGTGGAGTCATGTTGACTCTGCCTTGTGTAAACAACTGAGTTGCTGACATGGTTGTGACGCTAATGCACATAGCTTGTAGTCCTCTGCTTTTTAAGTTTACGGGGTAAATAAAACTGGAAAGTAGCTGCTGTGCAAGTAAATCGACCTTTAGTGTCGGCTGCAGTCATGTACTTTATCAGCAGGTTCCACTACCATTTGGTAGAATATGAAGATCTACTGAGATTCAGGGACTTTGGGACACTTGCCAGTGTGTTCTAGTGGTTAAAGATCCTGCTCTTACAGCATTTATTACTCCCCCCCTGTGCATCTTCCCTCTGGCTTTTTGCAGCTGTATGGAGCATGCTTTAGGCAAATAGGTAAAGTTTCTGGAAATTCTGATAAGTCTTAGTAAGTCTATATTAAATGTGTGCAGAAAGCAATTTTTACTTGAGCAGGTCTGGGCAGGCTTTAAGGGTAATGGCAGGAGGCACACACTGCTAAGCTGATCCTCTGGCTAAATTTCTGATCTCTGCAACACGGAGATGGTGTAGCTGCTCATTAACATCAGCAGTAGTGAGCAGAAGATACTGTCTCTGAACCCTCTTATACAAAAGGTAGACATTTTAGCTGAACTTTTTCAAAACTGTTTCATCTAAATCAGACTGGAAATAATTGACTTTCAGAGCTGAGGTTTGGCAAACCTATAAGCAGCTGAAAATAGGGTGTTGGAAGTGAAGGAAGGTGAGTTACAAACTTAATTGTAGCAGTTGTTACTGCTGTCATGTGTAGTGCCCTAAAAGCAGGAATAGATAAAATCTAATTAGCAGGAGAATACTATTAAGATTAAAGTTTGTATTTTTTGCTTTGTTGAGCCAATAGAGAGAAGGAACTAGAGCCAAACTGTCACCCAGCCATCTCTGAAGAAAAACTGGGTCTTACACAGTCATCAGCCACATTGCACAAATCTAACCAATACATGTCCCTAGCTTGCTTGGGATGTCAGTTTACAGAGAACAAGACTCTGATTCAGCTGTATTCTAATAAAGCAGTGCTGTACAGAGAAGCTTTCTGATGACCTCTGTTCAGATTATGTCCAGATAAACTTGATGGACTTGTGCTGTTTGAAAATACTTGTGTATTTTCTTCTTGTGTTGCACTTGTGATGGGTTAGCACTGCAATTATTTATAGTCTTGATTCGGAACATTTTTAGCATTGATTTAATTCCAGGTATTGATAAGTTAGAGCAAAATCTATGTACTACATTTTTTTGCTACATCTCTAGCTGCATCTACACAATGAAGAATAATTGAAGTCTGTAGAAATCTGTGTATGAGTGCATTTGTTTCAGAGTTGTAATATGTGATGCAGTGTCTAGTTTGATTTGAAGACTAGCACTGTTGCAGTCACAAGCTCGGTGGTCCAAACTTCCAGTACCACTTTACAGACAAGAACATGAAATATGTATGTATATTCCCTTCAGTGTACAAAAGTGTGTGTGGGGGGGGTGTGTGTGTGTGCTGTGTTTTGTTTTTTTGGGGTTGTTTTTTCAATTTAAATGACCATTTGTTTGGGAATACAACAGTTTTGTAGTTGCATCAATATGAGTATGATGAAAATGCAGCCTTGTTGTCTCATGTGAAACCATGAAACCAGAATATTTCTGCTGTCAAATTATTTTAAGTATTGCTGGGCATAGAGTTGAAGAGGCATGGAATATGTGTAAGATATTTTGTGATAGAATACTTAAGTTTGCATGGGAAAGCAAGATACATACAAATAAATATATATTCTCTTGGCACTAAACTTATTTACTGTAAGTATTTCTTCATGTGAAATAACTTGTTTTTTAGGAATTATGTTTGCTGTAGCTAATGCAAAACACAGTCATAGAAATGATGCTTTTTTTTTAGTCATCTTACTAATTGTATAGAACAACACATTTAAAATAATCTGTACTTATTATGAGAAACTTGATGATGGTATTTATGAATTATGTGAAATGGTCAGCTGAAGATCACTGGGGCTTGAAGCTGATGCCTAGAATAAACTGCAATTCCTGTGTTTGCCTATAAGCAACCATTCAGAGAGCTTCATGATTTTCCCACTGTTCATTTCTGCACCATCAGACTATAGTTGATTCGACATCTGTCTGTCAAAGAAAGGAAATCCAACCCTCTCATCTAATTTCTTCTATTTGTCGTTTAAACAAATATCAGTGAGGGATTCAACAAAATGCTGTGTTCACATAAACAATGCATAAAATACTGTGTGCTTGTTTCATCCTCATTCTAATATCAAGTCCTCCCTCCAGTGGCTGCTGTAACAGTTTTTTACTTGTCAGAAAGAACTGGAAATTCTCTCTCTCAAAGCTAAATTCAGAATTATTTGTTTGTTTAATTTGGTGCTTCTAGCTAGGCAAGCAAACCCGTTAGGTTACCTATTCTTGCGAGTGGCAGGGTCTTAATCTGTTAAAGGAAGAAGAAGAGTATCCATTGTAGGGACAAGAATGCTAGGGATTCTTGATCTCCGCATTGATTTATCTGATATGGGGATGGGAGTTATTTTATCAAGGTAAATCTGTTCAGATAAACTTTATGTTTCTTCCCTGGGGTAATAACAAATCTTTGAGCACCTGTATGTATTTTACAACTGCATTAACTTACCTATACCCACTGACGAATTTTCGAATGTGTGGGGAGGACTACCCAATTTGTATGACTAGAATAGTTTTCATTGGGTTTATCACAAAACACTATCACTGGAATAGGTTAGTTTCTTTTCAGAATTATTTACTAGAATGTACATGATTTTGTGCTGCAAATGTACAAACTGATGATGGACAAAATTTTGTATCTGGTGATCTTTTGTCAGTGAACTACTTGGAAACATCTGAGAAAAGTCTTTAATAACATCCACATCTGTGAATTGACATTTGAGTAATTTTAATATTTACATTAACTGTGTTATCCCCTAGAAAATAAAAAAAAGTTTGTGGTTTTGTTGTTATTTTTGTTGATTAGTTTTCTTATGAGTGCTAATGTGGTTAAAGTGTTATCCAAAAGATGCACATTTTAACTGAATCATGTTGAGTTGTGTCATAATTTAACAATTACACAGTCTAAGCAGAGCTCTCCTGCTCGAGTTGTGTCTTTAAAAGACTTTTGGCAGTGTACTGTCATTTCCCATCAGCTTAATCTGAACAGCCTTCTGCAAAGGAAGCTGTCAGTCTCCCATAGGTCCAATCTGTAGAATGGATTATTGAACTTTCCTGAACCCCAGTTTAAGAAAACAAACAAACAACAACACCCCACACACCCCCAACCTTCCCCTTAGTTAATAACTATCACCCCCTTAAATTGCTGTATATTTCCTTAATCTACACGAAAATGTTTCATATAATAGGTTTTCTCTAAAGACAACGGAAAAATACTGTTTATTTGTTTTTCATTCTTCTCTGCTGCCTTCACAGTGAGCTACTGTTACTTAAAATAAACAATTGTGGGGTTCTTTCTTACAAGTGTAAGTATTAGGGAGCCAGTAGTACCGTTGGTGAATTCTATTACTCTTTGTTTGAAAGTTACAAATTGCTACAGAGATACAGTTCATTTGAAGTCATCTATGATAAAGTATACTGGGGAGAAGAATAAAACAAATTGTTAATGACTGACAGATAAAACAAAGAACCAAAAAAGACGAAGGGAAAAAGAATTCAATGCACAGAAGTCTTTTTATTGAGAAGGAAGAAGTGGTGATTGTGATGTAGTTTGCTCTCTTGGTGTCAGATTCAAGATGAAAGAGACTGCAGATTCGAATGTCTGGGTTGCCTTCTGTGCAGTAGGAGAAATTTAGAAATATTTTGTATGTAGATTCTCACCTCGAATATATTGAAGTTCTTTCTACAGCTGGACATTTACTCTAAACATTTCAATGCCAATAACGTATTGTAGAAATCATAGTGGTTTAAAACTGCTCTGTGTAATCTCACTAAACCAAAACTGTAATAGCACAGTAAGAACAATAAAGTGGAGTTAACTGATGAAGAAAATCTTGAAAGATTGTGGATGTTCTGTTGATTATATTTTGGTTTTAATTGTATGCTTTACTTGGATTTACAAGTGTGGTGCTTCTCCAAAAGGCGTGTCATTTACTGATGTTACACTGGAATCATGAAAAAAAAAGTATCTAATAGATAAATGCCCTTTTAGGGTCAGGGAGAAGTTAGTGTTCATTCTTCTGAACTCGAATCTTTGACCAAACTTGATACTGGAGTGTGTGTCACACTGTTGTAAAATGTCTTAATCCAGGATGAGACTTTAGAGTGTTCAGTGTAAGCTTTGAAGGAGAGGAAAAATATCTAAATTTTGCCTTACATATCATAAAGGTTTATAATACTCAGGGAGGTTTTGCTTTTGGAACAAGTTCTGATTTTTTTTTTTGTGATGTAAGCAGTAGCAAATGGAATCTGTTGAAGAAGTCAGTAAATTTGTTAATTTCCAACTCCTGTTGATTTTCAGATTGTACTTCGAAAATCAATGTACATTTACCTCAGTATTTTAAATCTGTTGACACTTTGGGTAATGATGGCTCAGCTTCAGCAAGGAGGCCCAGATGAAAAAGAGAAGACTACTGCATTAAAGGGTATGAGTCTTTTTGACTTCTTTTTTACATATATTGATGTTTCAGAAACAATTATTAAGGAAAGGAAAATAATTTGATGTAACTATGGGTGAGAGTCTGGGAACTGCAATACTGGAAGAGACTACTAGTCCATCTGCTAATGCTTTTTGTCTAATGGTGTGTCCATTATAAGTAATCTCAGAAAATGATACAAAAAATGATGATCTGTGGTGAGGAGTAACAGATTAAGATATGCATTAATTTTTTAGATTTTCACAATTATCCTTTGAAGAATTTCACTGGTGCTTTTGTGTTCTTGGTTTCTGGGAGTTACCATTTAATTTTTATGCCACTTTTATAATTATACAACAATATTACAGCTTTTAAAAATCTGTTTGACTAGGATGTTAGCAGGGAGAACATTTTCAGGACACTGATTTCCATGTTGATTTTATAAAGTTTCTTTGTATTGTTTGTTTTAAAAAAATAAATGGACTGAAGTGACTTAGCAGAGTGATTTTTTTGAGGAAAGAATAAATTAAATAAATGACACCTTTTAAACAGCATTTTTCAGTTTGGGAAGTACATGAAGTTGGTTAGACCTACAGGTAAGTTAACCAAGTGTTGGATTTAAAGTGCTTGCATCACACTCACTCTCTAAATTGTCTTTCAAAACAGAAAAAATAATATACCTTGCAACTCCAGTGTAAAAATTTTATTTTTACCGAATTATTATTAGAAATACTTCTTCTGTTATACAGTGATAGTAGATGGTGTTTCTTCAGTTACAACTGTGTTTTTGTGAAATGTTTGGTGAAAACCTATGTGGTGTTTTTTTTCAAACATTGTACTAATTCTGTCAAGTTTGTATATTTTGAGAAAATTTTGCTTCATGTTTGGAAAGGTAAAACTCCCATTTTATACTTGGCATTAATTTGATCTCCATTAAGGATTAGTGTCCAAGAAATAATCCACATAATGAAAACTTTCTGTGAGGATGTTTTCTTCAGGGGATCTAGTGAACTCCCACTGAGCTATGGAAGGTCTCCTGCAGAGCACTCAGCTTTGGGCTCTGTTGATCTAGTCTCGAATTGAGTTGGAGAGTCCGAGATCTTAAGTGAGAACGGTGGATCAGATCTTGAAAGAATCTCAAAGTTATGAGAACACTTTAGCTAATTTTAACTTGAAAATTTGCACAGGAAGAAAGTAGCCGTGCCAGTGCTTGGAGCACAGACCAATTGCAGTCTTCCTGAGTGACTCTGATGGCAGCTGTAAATCATGACAAGCTGTACATACTGCAGATAAGCTTAATGTAGTTCGTATACTGTTGCCCTTGCTACTCAGAAGATGGATATTTTATTATATAGTAACTGACACTTCTGTGTAAACACATTTCCAACTAGGTCACAGTAAGAAGACATGAAAACTCTGGTGAAATTAAATTCTAGAGGTGTGGTGTGACTGGAGTCTCTTCACCAAGGAGAGAAAGACGTGCTAAAGATTATTTTGCTACCTTCATGTTGTGAAAGTACAGAGGAAGAAAGGACAAGCTTTTTACGTCCTTTTTCTGAAAAACTTCTCTGACAAAGTTCTTTTCTTTCTCCTACCATTTGGCTGAGGACCAAAGCAGCTCCCCCAGAACTTTCAGAGGACAATGGACAAGAACAAGTGTATGATTGCTTATGTGTATTGAATGTCATGGGACTTGCTGTTAAAACAGATTTGATGTAAAAGCGAGCTATGGTTGAGAAAGCCACATTTAGAAATCTTCCAGTCAACATCTGATGTTGTATAGCTATTCAGATATCACAGAGGTGCTCAGATACTGTAGTATAGGTTGGAGAGATGTTGAATTACAGTGGCCATACAAGATGGCCTTTGGTCCTCCAGCTTTACCGAGTGAAATCACTTCAGGAAGGAGAAACTGGAGACAATCATACGGATGCTGGAGCAAATGTCATGTGAACACGAACAGTTATAAAAGAGTAGGCCAAGGAACTCTCAGGAATGCAGAAGCTAATTTTCAGTACATTTTAAACACTGTAGAAATTTCAAAGGATTAATGTACTGATACTAAGCTTGGGTAACGTGGGTAACCTGTAGGCTGGTTACTGGTGACAAGACTAAGCAAAAATAGGGATGCAAAATTTATTCAAGTAATGATTTTAAGTAAATAAAGGGTGGAAGTGTAGTTAATGTCTAACAAAGCAAGTTTAAAGAAAACGTGTCTTTTCAAACTGTTTCCTTTGAGCTGCAACTTTGGAGGGTAAAGGTAATAAACCAAAATACTTAGAATACTCAGTGTACTTCCTTGGTAATACATGGTATCTTGATTTATAAAACAGTAATAGTTCAAAGTCAGGGTAGCACTCCTGAACTGAATGTTTGTGTGGCATTCAAATTCATCCATGAGGAAGCAGGAAGATATATTGCAGTGGAATCCTGCTGAATCGTTTCTTGATTTTTTTATTAATAATCAGAAAGTATGTTGAAAGGATAGCACTGGGTTGTGGGGGCGATGAGCAATGAGGAGAGGAGAGGTGATTCTACACTATTACCTGTGTATGCAGTAATTGTTTAGTAGTCAGATGTAAACAAAACATATTCCTATATGCTTGCCTCTGGTTAAATGTAAATCATTTGTCCTGATTTCGTCTGGGACAGAGTTAATGTTTCTTCTCAGTGTCTGGCATAGTGCTGTGTTTTGGACTCAATATGGGATGTGGTATGAGAAGAATGCTGATAACACGCTGACATTTTTGGTTGTTGCAGAGATTTCAAGGACTCCCCACCTCCCCACGTCCTGCCTGTGCGCGGGCGCACAGGGAGCTGGGGGGAGCACGGCCAGAGTGCCAGACCCAAACGGGGCAGTGAAATATTCCACAGCATGGAACGTCACGCTCACTGTATAGAGGAGGGGTGGCTGGGAAGGGGGGCTCTCTCTCGCTTCTGGGGTTGTGCTTTTGGGATCTTGTTATTTCAGAATTGCTGAATTACATTTATTATTATATAATAAATAACGGGAACAGGCTGGGAATCAGTCAGCAGATGGTGAGCAATTGCATTGTGCATTGTCCGTTTATACTTTCTATTACTGTTATTATTGCTTTATTTTATTACAATTATTAAACTGTTTTTATCTCAACCTATGACTCCTTACCTTCACCCCCCACAATTCTCTCCCCCATGCCCTGGGCCGGGGCAGGTGAATGAGCAGCTGTGTGGTGTTTGGCTTCCAGCTGGGTTTAAACCATGTCATCCTTAACTCTAGTGTCAAAGAATGCAGCCTCTACTTATTTCAGCATACTTGCATTAGTGGGTTCGGGCTGTACCAGGTTATATCATTGTAGTTGGAAAAGGATGTGGATGTCATGGCTTGCTCTAAAATGGATGGCAGCTTTCTCTACCTTGAGAGCTATTAAAGGAGGGTGGTTGAGAGAAGGATTCAGATAACTCAGTCTACTTGGGTATCAGAGGGAAGGTTAAGGAGTGTTGTGATCACACAGCTGGTACATGCCTCTGAGATGACGTGCATTTGATAATCTGAGCTCTTCAAGAAGACAAACAAAGATGTGTCAATGACTTGATACTGAAGCTAGATATGCATCTTGGTTTTAACATGAACTTACCAGAGACATATTTCTAACATTGACGGTAAAGAATCATTGAAACAAATCACTATGTCTTTGGTGGCTTCTCTGTCCTTGGACAATTTTTGATCAACATTAGAGTTAGAGAGGTAAATAAAAAATAAATAAAAAGGTACACTGACAATGAGGCCCAGCTTTTCAATGTGGAATGAGATTTCCCATAATGAAGCCCTGTGTTTAGTAATATGTAGGATGTCCTTCTGCCCTCAAGATCTGCAAATCTGAACAAACACATTTTGTCAGTGATAATAGTGAAGTAAAAAAGACATAGCATGCATTATGTAATTTTTCTTTTCCTTTTTTAGATTTATTGTCTAGAATAGACTTGGATGAACTAATGAAAAAAGATGAGCCACCACTTGAATTTCCTGATACTCTGGAAGGATTTGAGTACATTTTTAATGAAAGTAAGTCATATATGCTTTGTAAAGGCTATACTTAGAATAATGTTGAGAGGTTATCAGAACTTTAATTATGCCTTATAAGACCCTATTAGAATTTCACACTTTTCTGTTAAGAATAAAATTTTAAGCCTTAGTGTTAACAGACTTGTAAATCTAGCTAAGTAATATTTTTTTTTTATTTCATAAAATCGCCACAAAAATGCTTCATTTTATACAGTGCTGTAGGTTTGTACTGTATGTACTACATCCTGTTTTCTATTACAGAAGTGTTGATACAAAAATTCTGACAGTAATTTCTGTAGCAGTAGCATTAAAAAGCAAAAATAAAGAGTGGTCACTCATTTAAGAAATGTTTTATTTTCTGATTAATTTTTATGTATATAAAGAAGTTATTATTCAGATAATAATTTATCCCTCCAATTTCATTAATACCAATAGGAAGACACCTATTTGTATAAATGGAAGGATGAGCAATGTGATAGACTGTCTCCTACTCTTCTGGTGTGGGTCACGGTTTTGCATTACAGCTAAGTGTGTGGTGACAAGTACTTCCAGTTACCTGAATCTGTGTGTTAAATGAGTTAGTAGTATTTATAATTTCCAGTGCACACATATTAAAATCCAGATGAGAAATAAGCCTCTGAGCTAAAGTAATACCAGACTCCAGGAAATGGCTCTTTCAAGATTGTTTGAAACCTGTAGGACAAATGGGGACGTTTACAATTCTACTTCCTTGCAGTGCCTGTTCTGTGAACAGAGGAACTTTAGTTTCTAAATCTGCCTGTCTTACATCTTCCACTTTTAAAGAAAAAAAAAAAAGATCTTTCCTTTAAATGATAGTCATTTATGCAACACTTAGCTTTTTAATACCCTGATGGCTTTCACAGGAAGGTACTTAGAGACTAAAAGTGTCATGAAAGTGATGCTCTTTCTTTGATGGGAGGGGTTCAGCTCTGTCACTTTTCAGCTCCTTATTTTTAGATCTGCACAGTGTCTACTGTCTTCCTTAGTGACTTCAGAGTTAATGGTTCATATGTGGTTGATAAAAGGGCTGAAATTTGAATTTTGGGGAATGATGTTTTAGAATGATGTTATTGAATATTCCATCACTAACCTCAACAACCTGAGTGATTTCCATAGAATGTAGCAAAACCTATTACATATGCTACTGGTCAGCAAAGCAAAAAGGTCTCCATTTTGCTTTTGTACATTTAATTCAGATGTTCAGTCCTGTACTCTCATGTCATAGTCATGCTTCTTTTTATGATAGAAAAGTAAGGAAGATTTTTATCAGATATAAGAATCTGAAGAAAACAAGGGTTCCAGAAGACCAAACTAAAAATATAACAGGTATTTGTTCCACTTCACTTGTGGAGAGAGCAACTTCATGTACTGCTGAATGGCACACTTAAAAAGTAATTAGTTGAGAAGGAAGAACTGAAGATAGAGTTATGATAAAAATATGAAAAGAATGCTGTTTGGACCTGGGATAGAGATATGACGTTGGGGAGAAATATTTCCCTGATGTCTAGTACATAAGGTAAGACAGATCTTGAAAAAAAGTTAAATAAGCAGATAAGCAGAACTATTACAGATATCAGATGTTAAATATTTTATTTATAACATCAAGAATCAAAATATAAAGGTCCTGAAAAGGTGTGAACTAAATTAGCAGTTTCTTACTGTTCAAGAGGAAACATTTTGCTGAGAAACCTTGCTTTCATCATGCAGACATTTGAGCTTTCAAAGGAGATACTTGTACATATTCCTGGATTTAATGTTTCTCTGATTTACTGCAATTTTGTGATGCTCTGAGACCATAACTTGAGTTTTGTCCGATAAACTGAAATGTCACAGGTGAGATACTGGTTTTCTGCAGTTTGCTTCTTACTTGGTTGCCATTTTATTATTATTATTATTGTTATTTTAACTCAGTCTGTGTTGTCATGTAAACTTTTGCTATAAACAAGGCCAACTGCAGAAAGTTGCATTGGTATCTCAGATCAGCATGTGGTTTTGCTCTGATCAAGCATTCTCCTTTGTCCTACTGTTGCAGTCTCAGAGTACCCTGAATCTAAGAGCTCTTACCAGATTGCACGGTGCCTAGGAGTCGGGATATTTACCATAATTGTGAATGTGGGTTTTTTCAGATTAATTTGGAATGTTGTTAATCTTGAACATAAATGTTTCCTTTCCTTCCAGCCTCCAGCCTAATTTGTATTCACATTTCTTCCTAAATGCAGTTGGTTTTGAAGTAGGGGATTTGTAGCTACAATTAGACCACCTAATTGACACTGCAGATCAAATAGTAACTGCTAATGTTTACATTTCAGTGTTAACTCATAACAAACTTGCAAAGCAGTTTGACATTTGATATCTACATATAATTTCACTGTCATCACTTGTGTTTAGGTTTATCTAGCAATATATACCATTCAGGGGGGAATGTATTTTGTTGTTATGCTACAGTTGTTTTCCCTCAAAAATGCTATAACCAAAAGAGAAGGAATTCATAATAGACCAATTTTTAGATGTAGACTTCCTTCAAAATTTTTGGCAATTAAATGTGTCTTACTTTTAATGAAGAGGTATATTAAAATTTAATGATTTTTTTCTTTTACAGAAGGGCAGTTGAGACACATAAAAACTGGGGAGCCATTTGTTTTTAATTATCGTGAAGATTTGCATAGATGGAACCAAAAGCGCTATGAAGCTCTCGGAGAGGTATATTAATTGTGTGCATGTATGCCTGTGTATTGGTGTGCTGGTCTTTGTTGTATTTCTCTGTAGAAATTAAACTTTTATATATAAAGATTTAGTGAGTCTGCAGTCATTTAACAAAAAGTATTTTAGGATTTGTTATGTGTTAATGCTTTAACAGTAATCCCCATTATTTGCTGTATAGCTTAAGATGTGTTATAGACTGCAATTTGACTTCAGTATGTGTTCAAAACAGAGTATCATGTAGATTACACAAATCAGAGAATATTGTACAGTGCAGGATTTTCTTTAAATTTGTTCTCCTCAAGGCAAAGTGCTAGGTACAAAATCGGCATTTTATCTTCTAGTTGAAGATGTTTGTACTGGCTGGTTTTCTCATGTTACCAGGAGATACCAGTAGCCACTAGTTTGGTTAAGTAGAGATCTGATGATTAATTGATTAAATATTTGTTGATGTATTGGATATTTGGTTGCTACTGGTACTTCCCAGGCTTTTTGAAGGGATGTTGTGCATGTATGAGGTGTAGAAGCGACTGACCCTGGTTCCTTTTCTATGTGAAAATGACTGATTTCAGTACCACGCTTACCATAATGCTTCGGGAGTCAGAGCACTGACTGGAGAAGAAAGGCACCTGACCCCAGTGAATGCAAAGCAGCGTGTGCTGAGGTCCCCCTTGCACAGGCACAGCCTCCCCTGCCCAACAGGAAGAACAGCCGCTGCGCTCTGACCTCTAGGTAGTCATGCTGCTCACGTCAGAGTGGCTTTTGGGGGAAGGGGATGCACAGTTCTGTACACAAACTAGGGTCTTTTTTCTTAGAGACTATATAATGTTGCCCAGCGGTTTCTGTTGGAGTCATTATGGCATGTCATTCAAGAGCTGCCTTTGCCTTGTGGCTTGTCTGCTTTCATTAGTGTTATTGTTTTAGTAAGGATAAAACACATTTATTCCCCACTTACTCTTTCTGTTACATTAATTCAGGCTACTCAGAGAGATGTTTGGTTGTGCCTGTTTATAGACATTTTGTCTTTCAAATGTTCTTCTCGTAAGTTAAACCCAGTGGGCAGTTCAGCCCCCCCAAAGCTGCTTACTTGCTCCCCCCACCCCGTGAGATGGGGGAGAGAATCAGAAGGGTAAAGGTGAGAAAATTCATGGGCTGAGGTACAGTTTAATAGGTAAAGCAAAAGCTGCACGTGCAAGCAAAGCAGAATAAGAAATTAATTCACTGCTCTCCATGGGCAGGTTGGTGTTTAGCCATCTCCAGGAAAGGAGGGATTCTTCATGCACAACGGTGACTTGGGAAGACAAACACCTTATCAGAAGATAACTCTGAATGTCCCCCCTTCGTCCTCCTTTCCCCCCCAGCTTTTATTGCTGAGCATGACACTATATGGCATGGAATATATCCCTTTGGTCATTTGGGATCAGCTGTCCTGGCTGTGCCACCTCCCAACTTCTCGTGCACCCCCATCCAGTACATTTGTGTACTAAAGAGTAAAAAGAAAACCAAAACGTCTGAAATGACAATTAGTCCTACACTGTTGCAAAGTCAGTAGTATAAACCATCTTGATTGAGTTTCTTGGATGGATAAATAAGTATATGCTTAAATTTATCACCAAGTGCTTTCATATAGTTTCTTGTGCTGCCAAGAGTGCATTTGTTAAAGCTGAAGAAATACCTAATTATGTGGCCTTTTCTAGGTATAGCAGGATAGTCTCTGGGAACTTCTGTAGGCACTGAGCATGCAGGCTCAGGAAAGGAGTGCATGGCAGAAGTACTATGCCTGTCTTGACTAACAGGAATAGCACTCCATCTGTCCTTAGCCCATGTAGCTGAGTGAGGTATGGTCCAAGAAACCCCACCAGCATTAGTTTGGATACTGTCAGCCTGAGAGAAGTGGAAGTAAGAGGTTCAGTTGAGAGCAGTACACCAGGAGAGGAAATAAAGAGGGAGATTCACATGTGTATGGTGTAACACCACAGGGCTGTGCAGTGCTGTATTTTTACACATACAAGCTTCCATTTAAATACACGTACTCTGTTCTGTTACAAAGAATTCCTGTTCTTTGAGAATAATTGCAAGCCATAGTGGATTTTCAGTGGTGCGGGTTTTACTTTTTCATTCAGGTAAAATGAAAAACCACTGAAGGCCAGACTGCTGTGACTTTAGCAGGACAGATAACATGGATTAGTCTATCTCCCAATTCCTGCTGCGGCTCCCAAAGAGGCTTTGTGATGGAGACAGCCTTTCTGCTTGTGAAACGGTGATGAAAAGCTACTGCTGACCCTGCCAGGCCTCTGCAGAGTGGTGGTCTGGTGCTCCGTGGTGAGCTCAGCCCCTCCACTTCATTGCAGGGGTAGCTTGGGCTCTGTGCAGGTTGTGTTGGAGCTGCCCAGCTGTTGAGCACTGCTTTATCCTGCCAGAGCTTTGTTATTGGGAACTGAAGAACCTTGCTTTTTACCTCCTCCTCCTCCTCCTCGTTCCTGCAAGATCTGTGTCATGGGGGGGATGATGGGGGCTACTACTTCTGCTGCTTCTCGCATCCTTTCTTTCACCTCAACTGTATGTTTTCCAAAACAGAGAATGTGCTATTGCCCAATCTGTTGCATTGTTTGTCTTTCTTGGTACATATTTCTTCCAACAGGAAACAGATTGGCATGTATTCCATGGTCTGTGTGTGCAGACCTTTGTGTGCCTGTATTGTTCAAATGTCCCCATTTTCCAAATGAGTTGGACAAGACACAAGTATAAAGATTAGTGTGTTTCCGTGTGGGTTCCTGTGCCACTACACCTTCTTTTACATGTTTCTCAACATCATTGAATTCCTCATTCTGTGCATCTGAATAATGAGTGCCACAGCTTCAGCCCATAACAGTATGAATGACTTCCTGTGATTTTTGGTTAACCAGGAGGTGGGGTGTATTCAGGGAGTCGATGCCTTGTATCTGTGATCTGTCTTGTGCATTTTGCCTTAGTTATAATCATCCTCCATGTTCAGGTTTGAGTGATCTTTGAAAATGCACTTTGTTTATATTGGTAGGTGAAAGGAAAAGAAGGTTTGAGGTCAGGAATCTGACAGGGTGAATTGCTTTAAGTTATTTATTTGTTTTATGCTTTAAGAGAAAAAAGAAACTCATCTGTATTTCAGTCTGTTGTCTGCTAGATGCGTGATACTACACAGTTCTTCCAACAAGCCACAAATTTATGAATGCTCTATTGTCTGTTTTTGGCACTATGAGTGTTTATATAGTTATCTGAGAGCACAGGGGACACTGACCAGAAAAATCTTTGGCGTTTGTTCACATAGATAAAACCTTGTTTTGTGCCATAGATCGGTGGGTCACTGATGTAGATATTGAAAAGTACAGAAGCAGTATATTACCCTCTGATTAGCCATTTTGTAGTCTAGGGTAAAATGTGTTTAGCAAACTGTGATAGTTCAAGAAGCAGCAGCTCATGTAATTCGTAAGGTGATGTAGCAAAATCTGGCCTTAGGCCTTTGCTTTGAAACATCATCCTTTAGGAGATCTCTAGTATGTATTTGTGGCTGAACATTTATGTAGCTGGACATACAGCAAGATGATAAAGTAGCTAGACTTGTATCATTGGACAGAAGTGGTTTATGTATTCAGTGTTTCCATTGTTAGCTCAGTCATTGTGTGCTGGGTTTCTCATTTTTAAAGGATATACCCATCTTGCCCAAGGCAACTTTTTTTTTTTACTGTATATATATACTGTGGTCTGCTTTTGTTGTATTTTACTAATTTTAAGAAGAGGGTGTACTTCCTGGCCTCGTGTTACAGCATCATTCTCTCTTTCTTGGAGCATTAATAAATTTCCATTTGGTAATCCATGATTTTTTGCTGCTAGAAGTCATGAATACACTATCTGTGATGTTCTGCCATTACTCTGGCTGTATGGAAATTGATTCTTCACAAATTACAATGGTTCGTCAACGTCTCCACTTCTTACATCTCTTTATTCTTCATTCATTGATCTGTTATTTCAGGCACACAATTTGTTCTGCAGCCTCTTGATATGTGCTTCTAATAGACAATTTAGTGAACTGTTCATAATTTTGTGATTCTGGTTCAGTCATTGCTACTGCGGCATTGAATTTTGTGGAGAGCCTCTCCATTTGCTTTTTAAAAATTAAAATGGCAACAGAAGTGCACAGAACATGGTGTTGCAGCTGCTTCTAACTGCCGATTAATCCATGTGGCAAGTTTGAAGTACGATTGAGAACAATTTTGTGACAACAGTTCAGTTGTTGCAGACGTACCGTTCCAGTTCAAAGTTGAATTATTCTACTTTTTTTTTTTCTGTCCAGGATTTATGGAGATTTGAATTCTAGGTTAAACTCCAGATTAGACGCACATGATGTATGTCTCCTTGCATTTTAAGTAGATGTCTGTGTTTACTGTTTGTGCTGTACTTTCAACTGATAGTATGGCTGCTGAAATTGCCAACAGTCAGCTTCAGCCTTGCTTCATCGTGACATTGGAGTTACCTGGAATTATAGAGAAAATACTACTAAAATTCATTGCTGGAATTTTACCTTGCATTTTATCAGTCATATAGGTTGTGTTGATAATGAGATTTCGTATGAGAGAGATTATGTTGACATTCTCCTTCCATAGCCCTACAGTAGGCAGTTATTGTCTATCCCTCGGCATGTCTTTCACAGCTCTAGCACTGGGTAATTATAATTTGATTGTGATTGCTTGGAGGCCATTTAATATTTGCACATGGTTTTGTGAGTGCCATCACTAGTGAAGAGACTTTTACCAGTACTGACAGTTTGCTTGGCTACCCATGTCTTTAAATAAGTCAAACAAGATTTGTAAATATGTAGATTATAATGAGGACCATGATATGAATGCCTCTGCTGTGGTCCTGCTCAAGGAGTGGTTTATGCCCTGTCTTGTAATTGCAGACTGTATGACCTGCAGAAGCGTATAAACAGGTAGCAGAAGAATTGTGGTTATTTTTTACAGTTACCA